GGGGTCATATGATGCGTTTTCATGTTTTTCTTTTACTTTAGTGTGTTTTGTAGCTGTCTGTGCATGTATAAGATCTGCAAATTTACAAAGCTCAAAGCTCCCTCAAAATAAATTTTTCTATCTAAAAGAGAAGGCTGATCCAGACCGGCTGAAAACACCTCGATTGAATTCTCCCTCACATATCTATTTCACTATGTGGAAATATTTGCATAATACCACCCAAATGGATATGCAAAGAAAGAAGGCGTGGTTTCAGATATCGCAGTAGTGTTGTTGCCGCCATGCCGTGGAGACTCTTTGTATTTCTATGCGAAAGCACTTTTTTTGGCCTTCTGAAAGTGGACGCAATTATAAGTCAGTGGTTAATATTTATTTACAGCACTGTCCCAGAACAGTACAACCCAAATGCTCGAGTGTGCAGCACATTTTATGGAGGAAAGTTTCCTGAACCTGGGAGAGTACAAGGCCGGCTGTGCAGAAAGGCTGTTTCTAAAAAATGGGGCAATTCCAACTTTGCTAGGACAATCTGGCACTTCTGAATCAGAGCCCGTAAGTATCTTTTATAATTTGCTATTGCTATCCTCTGTTCTCTGCTTATAACTGGCGGCAAGAAGACAACAAACATGACACACGTAGTTCTGCTTCACACTGGATGCTCAAGTAGAGCTGAAGCAGAACGCGCCACTTGTGATATAGTAAAACTGAAGACATTATTAACTGTTCTTATAATTGCTTTGGAAGCTAAAGCTCATGATTATGATAAGGGACGTTACATTTCCGACACATGCTTGAGATGTTTGGCCAATCACAACGCACTGGCTCAGCTGGCCAATCAGAGCGCACTGCTCTTTTCGAAGGAGGGGCTTTGTAGAAATCAACACATTTTAGAAAGACTATGCATAGAGGATCTGCAATAATGCACAGTACATGAAAAATAATGCATTTTTTGGACATTAAAGCATGCTAACATATCTATTACACCCAATACACAAAATAATGAGCTTTGAAAATAGCATCATTTGACCCCTTTAAAAAAAAAGAAAGAAGATGATCTACATCGATCGACTCGATCACTTTCACGAAGATGACAGTCCAAACAAAAAGAGTGTGGATAGAATGCAGCGTCTTTTTTCCTTCTTTCTTTGTGAGATATTTCAGTGCAGTGCATGTTGATTATTTTCTTTTTGGCAGGTTGCTGAAATATTTCTGTAATCATTTTCCATGAGTCAAAGGGCCACAAACTGTTTTCCTTGGCAAAAAGTGAATAAATAAAAATTCCTCCGGTTTGTGTCAAAAAAAAAAAAAAAAGCTGCAATGATACTTCGATTTAGCTCCTGTAGGGAACTCTGGGTGACTGAAAAACAAATAAACGCCTTCATTTAGGCAACCCTCAGACATACATCTACCACAGATATTACAAGATTACTCTAGTGGTCTAGTTAATAGGATAGTCTTGACACTCGCACAGTTTTGGAAGTGATTCACATATCATTCAGGGCTTTATGACATAACTCAGGGCAATAGGGAATGAATGCAGCAAGCTAAATTTATACAGGAAGCAAGCACTTACTGATGCGTTCGCTCTCAAATACACACACACACACCCACACACACATCCACACACAGAAAGGCTCGTGCCCAATCTGGGAATAATTACAGACAGTTAACTTGACCGGTTTGCCCTAAATGAACTCTCAAACAGAAATATTTTTCACATAGAGTGCTAGAGATGGCTGGGACCAACTCGATCCCTTTTACAAAAACGACAGTCCAAACTCTAAAAGAACGTGGATGAAATGCGGTGTCTTTTTTTCCTCCATTTCAGTGCTGTGCATGTTGATTATTTTCTTTTTGGCAGGTTGCTGAAATATTTCTGTAATCATTTTCCATGAGTCAAAGGGCCACAAACTGTTTTCCTTGGCAAAAAGTGAATAAATAAAAATTCCTCCGGTTTGTGTCAAAAAAAAAAAAAAAAGCTGCAATGATACTTCGATTTAGCTCCTGTAGGGAACTCTGGGTGACTGAAAAACAAATAAACGCCTTCATTTAGGCAACCCTCAGACATACATCTACCACAGATATTACAAGATTACTCTAGTGGTCTAGTTAATAGGATAGTCTTGACACTCGCACAGTTTTGGAAGTGATTCACATATCATTCAGGGCTTTATGACATAACTCAGGGCAATAGGGAATGAATGCAGCAAGCTAAATTTATACAGGAAGCAAGCACTTACTGATGCGTTCGCTCTCAAATACACACACACACACCCACACACACATCCACACACAGAAAGGCTCGTGCCCAATCTGGGAATAATTACAGACAGTTAACTTGACCGGTTTGCCCTAAATGAACTCTCAAACAGAAATATTTTTCACATAGAGTGCTAGAGATGGCTGGGACCCTGGCACAAGATGTTGCAAAATAATCTGTAATTAGTAACAAGAGCTGCCGCCCCATCTGCTGCGAGCCTTCAGGAGCTGTGATGAAAAAAAAACAAAACAAATAAAAAAACTTTAAAAAGGAACAAAACTGTGAATGTGAATGCAAATGTGACACTGTCACTCCTTTTATCAAAAAAATCATTGATTATTGAAACTTCAAAAGAAAGTACAGTAGATAAGTACATCGATATCTATGCCATAAAATAAGAGTAGGAAAGGAACAAAAATCATCTGAATTTTTATGATTTGAAATTACATTCTAATATCACTGTAATGCATCTTTTAGATTTTATTTTTTTTTAAGCATTGAAATAAATACTGTGACGATATGATGCACATTTAAACTGACAAACGTGCCCATCTTAACGTTCCAAATCGAACAACAATATGGATCTCTGTCTCAATGGTGTTGCTAAAAATCACTGCAATCACGTGTCATTTCGAAAACTGCTGCATCCATTTTAGTCAAATTCAGAACATATGACACGTCAGCGCAATTACTTCAATGATTCACACAAGCACAGACAACTTTTAAATTAACACGGCTTGTCAGTTATTCTGTTCAAAGATAAACACCAACCTTAAACTTCACAAGGTTGAAAGAGCATTTTTCACTCAGTGAATAATGAAGGTAATTAAGAGGGATTTATTAATGCCATCTTGAGAACTTCCAAAGACACATGAATATTTGGACTGAAACTGAATCCTCAGATGAACTTTCACCGTTGTGCATTCCAACAGACTAAGGACAAACGCTCAAACCAATTTACTCTCAATCCTGGGCCTGTCATTAAGAAACCCGCAGAATGCAGATCTACTGAAATCCTGTAAACAACTGGCACTAAAACTCACACAGTTATCAAAATAACATTGTATGGTTTGTGCAGGCTATGGAAGGACGTACATAATCAATTTCTCTGTGAAGAGACACCTATGTGTGGCATTTTCCCTCAATGCCTTTTTATCCAGTTGCTGCTTTATAATCTTATTGCATCTCACTGCAATTGACTCCAAGATGTGCATGACCGGCTCACTTTAACTTTATCTTTTATCCAATCAAAACTCTCTCCGCTGGATAGCAACTGAAAAGCCTGCTTCATGACACAAGAATAAACACACTTAACCCCTTGTTTCTTAAGTGCATTAAATGTGAATCTAAAAGAAACCGCTAAATGTTTAGTGTAACCTGTAAGTTTTTATGAGTTCTGTAACAATGATCATTGCATTTTTTTATTATGAATATTGTTGGCTCTATAACACATTGCTCATGTCGCCTTGGATAAAAGTGTCTGCTAAATGAATAAATGTAAACATAAATGTTTTGTCCAATTCTACAATATTGTACAAATATGTTCAACATGTTAATCCTGCAATCTTTGTCTAGTCGACACCAACTCGGTGCAACAAGGGTGTGGCTGTGGGCATCAAAAGCTGATAACGTCTGGCGTGGATTTCCTCACCTCATCCCAGCTCCTTGCAACACCCCCCACAAGTCACACTGACGAGAACCAGAGGCCAGCCAAGTGACCAAAAGGTTACGCTGTGGAGGTCGGCACGGGTCCTCCATGTAGACCCTCATTTCCTGGGCTGGACAGTCTGCTTTACTCATAAAGCTAATAAGGCCCTCCTTGTCCCGGGTGGCTGGCCTACTCATCACTGGCCACACCATGGGGGTCGGGGGGGCTGCTTCCCATTAGCCTGCCCCCTCTCCAGGTGCAGCTAATGGGCTCAGCCAGAGCCTCTCCAGGACCACTTGGCAGCCACCAGCGCAGGCCTGGAAGTGATCAGCACCCAACGCCTGGGAGCCGTGACAAACAGACGGCCCACTTAAAGGAACTAAGTTAAAAATAATAATTTTTCTTCACTAGCCTGGGAATGCCTCATATTGTTGTGTGCAATTGCAGCAATATATCTGAATTGAACATCTTAAAGTAAGCAAAATAATTTATGCACATATTTAACTATTGATGATGGCAAACATTTATTTTTACCTGTTTTTTCTTTATAAAAATAACAGATAAAACAATGTTTTTATTATAAATTATAAACAACTACTGGCAAATTGGCATTTCATTTCTACAGCATTTTCTGTTTATTGAATGTATTCGGTTTCAAACAGCTATACTTGTATTGCAACTTGATTGACCTATTTTTCCTTACTCCTTTCAAAAGTTATTTCAGCTGAAGAGCAATTTTTCTTGATAAGGGGAAAGCATGAGAAAAACATATGTGCGTAAATCAGCTCTGCAATCATTCTCTCTCATATCCACCACAGGCAGAGTGTTAAGCAAATTGACCTCCAGCATGAAATAAGATAAGCAATCAACAGTTAACCATCACGACTCATCTTCAACTAACATGTCTCTGCAACCAAGTTCTTTAATCAAAATAATTTCTAAAAATGGGCACCTTGTGGCCCTTTGTTTCACAGAGCGCAGTAAACTAATTGAATTAGGGACCTGCCTTTGCACCAGGGGAAGCAAAAAAACAAAAAAAAACACTTGCGGCGAACACACATTTATGGCAACCAAAAAACAAGAACAAAAGCTTACCTGTGTTGCTCTACGGCCTCATTGTCAGGTAGTTCGGCGCCGCACACGTTGCAGCGCTCGTTCGGGCTGCGGCCTTCGGGCTTCATTCCAGCAGCTAACTCGCCGAGCTTGTTGAAGAACTCCCTCTGGATGAAACTCTGAGGCAGCAAGCCCCCGTAGGCACTGAAGTCCATGGACATGGCCAAGGCTGGGGACATGTGCAAGGATGAGGCCATGGAGGCAGGCATAGAGAGCATCGCTTCGTTCTTGTGATTGGGGGGAATGCCATAGAGCGACGCCAAGTGTTTTTCGGTCATCCCCGCCATGGCCTCCAGCCCCATCTGGCTGACCTCGGGCTGCTGGTCACCCACACCTTCCTCCCTGACGTAGTGCAGTTCACGGGCACTAGTGATCACGCTGCTCCTGGTAGGGGTGCCGGGCCCATCACGGTTCTTGTCAGTTTCTCCACTGCGTTCGCCGTTGCTGGAGGCGCTGGATTCCATGGCTTTAGGGCTCTCATGCTCTCCGCTCTCATCTACTTGCATCACCTCCGTTTTCATCTCTCCCATCATGGGGTGGGAGTTGCCATACAGAGGCTGATCAGCAACCGCACCAGGGTGCATGGTGCTCTGCAGGAGGGACTGGCCAATGCTCATCAGGCTGTCCACGGCTGCTTTGGTTGGGCTCATGGTGGAGAGGCCAAAGGAGGTGGAGACAGAAGGACTCTGATCCACCATTCCTGGCAGCATCAGTGCTTGCTGGGCAGCTAACACGTAGCTGCCCACCTCCACGGAATGCTTTTTTGGGTTTCTCCCATGCCGTCCCTTGCGCTCCTCGTCGTCTTCTGCGCCTCCGTCATTCATGTTGACCTCAGTGTCGTTTTCATCAGAGGACTGGATGGTCTCCAGTATCTTCAGGCATTGCTCCTCCAAGTACTCTATTTCTAAGATCTCTGCTGCGTACAGCAGGTCATCCAGATCCTCCACTTTAGCTTGGAGCGTGGCAGTGTAGGCATACTCCAGAATCTGCTGGAAGGTCTTTGGTGAGAGAAAGTCGAGAGGGTAATGTTGGCTGTTCCGGTGAAAGAGGATCTCGAACATCTTACTGGCGCAGGCCAGCACGGTCCGGTGAGCGTGGAACTCCTGGCTGTCCACCATGATGACCACGTCGCACAGTGTGCCGGCCAGGCGCATCTGATTAGCCTTGTGCAGCAGGGCATTGGGGTGATTGGGGTTTTGGAGCTGGATCATACCCATTTTAGTCAAATCCATAACGTCTCTGAAATCCACACGGCCAACTCATGAGTCTCTCTTTCCACGTAGCAGTCTGTTCATTTATCTTTGTAAACAAGATAAGGTCAATCTAGAAAGAGATGAAAGAGAGACCCACAGTTAGATGTAGCAAAGTCACAATGTTTGTTTTTTTGTTTGTTTGTTCTTAAAATAACAGCCATCATTCTAATTATTTCAGTATAAAAAAAATAAAGATGTTATAAAAAAACACAATAAAACCAGTACATTAGACTTCAAATGTAATCTGTCCAGTATAAAAGCACACATATATCAATATCAATCACAAATAGCATTTAACAGCCAATAACCTTTTTAGCAAGAGATGAAAAATCTGTCAAAATGCACAAAATAAAACACAAAACGACAAGTGGCCCACATGAGAAACACGCAAACTTGGCTTTAGTGCTAGTAAAGGCTGGCAGTAATCAAGCCTTTGTTTCTATGTGTTCGAGCTCGCCTCACAAAGCACATCAACAGCCTCCTGAAATGAAATGGCATCTTATTCAGTATTCCCATCACAGACAGGGATACTGAGCGGAGCATGGAGAGTGAGGCAAGCTGTTGCCAGGAATAGTTGGAACAGAGGATGACACAAAACAGCTCAGAGCTCCTAAAACACACCAAAATGCAATTTTTATTTAAAATACATTTCCATGTATCATTAGTGAATTATATATAGATGTCATTTTTTCTGCTATATACTATAAAAATAAACCATTAACTCACTTACAAGGTAATCTTAAAAAAAAAAAAAAAACGTGTAATTTGTCAACATAAAAAGGTCAAACGTTTGGGCATTTTTCATTATATGCAAAACATTTAACTTCACCACCATCACAATGTATTACTCAATAAAAATACATTTTAGCTATAATTTAACGTTTAAAATCGGCTTTGTACAACAACTTAACTATCTTACAACAAAAACATTACCGTCACATTTGAGTGAACACAATCTGAGGAAGATCCACCACTAATATATGATAATAGCAGCGAGAGGAAGCCATGCCGTTTACAGCATTATCACACATATTTAAAATAGTAGATAAGGAACGGAAGATTTACTCCGATATTTAATATTTCCCCCGTCTTATATGATCAAAAATAAGCCTCACCAGAGAAGAGCAGACTAGTAAATAGTCTTTATATCAAACACTATGATCTCAGCGGTGAATGACGGGCTTTTCACTGTGAATGTACCGTCTCAGACAGCAAATAAGCTAAAGTTATGATAAATGGCGACACTAGAGAAATATATACGAGGGGTTTCACGCCGTTTAAATTACTACAGAGTACAGGAAGGCGAGTAATGAGTGAGAAATGAATACATTGTCTTTGAATTGCAGTTAACTGATGAGACGTTAGCAATAATGACGCCAGTTCACGCACGCGAACTGTGCAGCAGCACTACAACAACTCAGACAAAAGTCAAAAAACGATCAACACATATTCGTATTATTAGTCAACTACAGCTGTGATAACCGTTATCTACCTCGTATATGTTAAAAAGACCAATGAAAAGTCCGGTCAGAGCTCATTTGATTGATCAATACATGATTATTTGACTGTTCACACGTGAATCAATTGAAGTTAAAGGACCCGTTTGTTATTTCATTAACGTTACGTACGCATACACATCGGAGGAACAAGCAAACAGCTTTTCGGTTAAATTAATCTATTTCAGTATTGTTATAAAACTAACAAAAAATTAAAGCACTTTAAAAATCACAACCAATTCAGTGCGGTTCATTTTGAAAGACAGTGACACGCACCTCCACGGTGGCCCTGATTTAATGATCAGACCTACTGTTAACCAAAATAATAACAATTATCAAAACCCCGACATTTGTTTGTTCAACGACACACTTCTTCAGTTAGGACATATTTAAACTCTCTGATGAACGTTCAATTCGAAACATTCACGCTGAGAATAAAGCACATGGAAGCACGTCACTGTCTGGTGCGCGAGCAGACCTCACGTCCACCGAATACTAAAACGCACGCTTACGTCAACATAACATCTCCACATGTGTAAAGATGAACATAAACAGCCATATCTATCAGGTGCCCTGAGCCTGCGCCACACTTGACAGCCACACTTGCACTTTTTCGGTGCGCTCTCACAATTCACCTTCACTTGAAGCAACAGTAGAAACACTGTAACTTGATGTGATGCTGAGCGCAAACACATCTGGTCAACACAACGCGGATCATCTCTTAATGTGAACACTTCCCAAACTAAAAACACGCAGACAGATGGGTCTGTCAGGAGCCGTGGGTGTTGTAAAGGTGCGCGCCTGTACTCACCTGTCTTGCACGTTTGGCTTCCGAGCGTGCGGTTATTAGGACTGTAGCATAGTAACGCAGTTCACAGTACCCGCTCTCTCTCGCGCTCACTAACTCCTCTCTGCCCGCCGCTTAGCAAATCAACACGGCGGTGACGTCAGCGCACATCCTCGCCGGAGTCCTGACAAACACTGCTAAAGTGAGACACCTAGGGGGCTGTCGAATATAGGCCAGCGTGTCTGGGACACTATCTATCAGAGCGTTTGGACTTTAATCATTAACCTTCAAGCACCATCACCTTTGCTACTACTTCTATAACCAGCTTACTTCTCTATAAGGTCTGTACGAGCGCGATATGTAAATTCATATTTAGACCTTTACAAGTGCAATATTCACTATTTTTACACATTCTTGTAGGCTTATATACTACATTATTTGGTTGTAAACGTAAACATGTTTTTTTCTGTAGTTCTTGTCTAGATGTGAGTACCGTGAGCTTTTGTTACTATGCCAGATTCCTTGTGTGCTTGGCCCAATTAAACTATTGGTAACACTTTACTTGAAGGGGTGTGCATAAGACTGACATGGCACCTTCATAATCATGACATGACACATGTCATGAATATGAAGGTTTTTTTATGCATGTTTATGACAACTGTCATTAAGTGTCATTCGCTCAGTTATCTAACCCTAACCTAACCCTACCCCTACCCCTAACCCATAACAAAGACATCTCAAACAATTTCATCTTTGCATTAAAAATTACATAACTGAGCGAATGACACTTAATGACAGTTGTCATAAACATGCATAAAACCTCCTTCATATTCATGACATGTGTCATGTCATGATTATGAAGGTGCCATGTCAGTCTTATGCACACCCCTTCAAGTAAAGTGTTACCAAACTATTTATTCAAACAAACGAATGAATGAACGAATTAGCGTAAAATGTATTTATGACAATCATAATCTAGTTGACTCAAGTTCCTAAGTGTAAAAAAATACACAAAGACAAGCTATTTTAAGCATTTCAACCTCTTTGAGAAGTGCATTTAGCATCAGAGAGATGATTCACACTTATTAGCCTACTTAATGACAGACACATAAGATTTCAAAGAGTTTTTGAAAATGAAAGACAGATTAATGGCTATACAGACAAGATCACTCGTTTGACTGTAAATGTTTTATTTATTTATTCATTCATTTATTGTGAATGTTTCATCTATTTAAAACTGTAAACACTTAAATATTTTTATAATCAAACCGTTCTTGGAAAAATATAATAATATATGCTTAATTTGATTAGAATTAGACTTAATTAGTATTATTTAAAATAAATCATGCAGGCTACCTTTAACTAAATTGTGTTGACAAACTGAACATTCTCATTCTATACAAATTCAAGTTCCATTACAGTTGCCGTCAGCAACATTTGTCACTTATATTTTCAGTGCAATGACAGCCTGAAAATGGAGGGAAATGGTGTAAAATCTGCGCTAGACACTGTAAAGCGTGAGATGGGAGATCATAGAGTGCCATCACCTTTGAGCTGCATGCTGTGCTGGCTTACTTCTTGGGGATAAAGACAAAGGCACTGCCCTAATCTCCATCTAATCCACATTTTACTGGAGAGGACTCTGATTAGACCCAAATTATACAATGATTTTTTTCAAAATCAAAAGCACAAGCTAACACACTTTCAAAAACACGAAATTACCATTCGTAAATTATTTAAAAATACATATAAACTCTATTTGTTTGTAAGCAGTACACATTAAAATGATTCTTTGAAATCTAACTCTAAAACGTAAGCTCTTGGTAAAGTTACACTTGTACATTCATGCATTATAAACATATGTGAGATGATGTTCTTTAATGAAAGCTGCATTTATGTGCAATTCATTGGCCTTGGCTCTGCGGAAGTGTGACAGCATGCATACATACAGTTGCAGACACTTATAATTTAATTTATGAAATTATTATAATTACACATACATATTTTGATGCATAACATCATTAAGGTTCTGAATGCACTAAGAGCGTGTTTGTTGCCTATTTATCCATATAGCACATATTCACATATATAAATCATCATTAGTGATGTACTGAGGTAGGTAATGACATACCCTGTGGAGGTTTTGCTCATGAGAGGTAGCCACTGAGCTAACAGTGGATCTTTGTAAATCTCACTCAAAGCTTTGACTGAATAGGCTCTTTTTACACTTGTATAATCCTGGGGGTGTCTTATGCATTGGGGCCCTGCCCCCATGACCTCTGACCCCTACCTCTGACCTTGGCTGGCTTTCCTCCTGTACAAAATGCCCCTCCCTGTGCATGGCTAAAAATTCCTTTGAAACATTTCATCATTTAGATATCCATTCCATCATGCAATACATCCATAAAGGCTATCATATCTGAGCCAGCTGCAGGTTTAGCATTAGGCTTAAATGGATTTATGGCACAGTAATGCCTAATTATATTATTAGGTACTTCATTATGATTTTAACTTATTTTATTTAAAATTTTTGGTACTTTAAATCTTAAATCTAATTAGAAATGTCTAACTTCACACTTTTGGATGCATTTACAGCAATAAGTTTTCTTTTCATTAAGAAGAATAGATGACACTCTCTTTGTTAATGGATTGAAATAGTCATGTTGACAGAGCCGTTTGCTCTACTGAGTGCATATTTGCCTTCACTCTCCCTCCAGCCTTATACCTGTTTGGTTAGATGACAAGGTGATCCCTTGATCAATACTGAGGTGGTATCATCAGCAGGCCGGACAATAGAACTGTGCTGGTAAACCTTTACTGGTTTCAAGTGACAAGAATCCCATTCTCAGATGTCACAGATCTCACAATCTCTGACTGCACTCTGTGTATTAGGACATGCACATTTCAGCCACTGATTACTATTTTGTATTTGCAAGATGAAATGCAAACTTAGAGGAGAGCATGGATAATTGTAACACTCAATAAATGTAACATCAGTGTCCATATCAAGCCTCCAAATCTCTTCCTAGAATATTGGAAAGTTTCAGCAATAGTTGACAGAAATGTTTTAAAAACACCTGTTTGTTGCAAGTTGAGTTAAAACTTTTTATATACATTTCTGTGTGTAAATTTGGGGTTTTCAATTTTACTATACTAATATGCTTTTGCACAGATGACAACTTAAGACATAACTGCTGTTGTATGTCCTTGATGTTATCCATTTAACATGTATATTTAAAATATATACATTTACATTAGAGAATTTTAATTAAAAATGATTTTTTTTTTTAAATCGCATACCCTTTACAGTTATAGACTATGTATCTCACATCAGTCTTCATGTACTTGTAGTTTAAATGTATCTGACTCAATTAGATCATACATTTCATTGACAAACTAAATTCATACATTTTATAAATGACTAAGGGAAAAAACAAACATAATTATCCCTGCTCTCCCCCATCTAAGTTACAGATTCAGTTACAGTCATTCTCTCACATCATAAGTTGATCCACTTTCCTTGTATCCGACTCTCCATTACTGACCTCTGTCTCGCACACCTAATCTTCAATCTTCTTTTCTTCCTCATAACTGGCTCATCTGATCCTAATGACTGTTAATACCAAATGATCTGAATCTGCAAGGTACTGTGGGGGGTCACCTCAATATTTCATACACTGTGTCGTCATTAATCACAAGAGCTTCAAATAGAAAAACTTCTCTTGATTACTGTAATTTTAAAATTGGTAGTAAAACTGATTAAATTTAGCAAGGGGCAGGGCATTGTCACTAAAATGAATGGAAAGGTGGCGCCAAGTCTACTTCAGAACTGTCAGATGAGATGAGTATGACGTGCACTGTCCATCATAGGTGCACTTTTCCAATATGGTAGTGGGTGGTTTCCTTCCTTTTATGGGAGTGGCCCAGGCCCTTAACCAGAGTGTTCTAATGAGTACTAACCCCTTTTAAAAGGAGCTTCCCTGCAGTTTCCATTGGGTGGAAATGTTATAAACTTTCTTTCAGGTCTGAAGCAGCTTAGAGAGACTATTGTCCCCCTGTTGAACAAGACCTGGGCATTCAAAACAGTTTAAACAATGCCAATGATGATTAATGACAGGCCTGTCAAACAAACAGCGCTGACTAAGGCTTGCGCTCACAGCAATCCTCTGATTGAAGAAAAAAAAACAAAACACACACACACACTCCATCATTCGAGGCCTCAAATGAGAGGTTAAACATATACTAGTATGAGAGAGCTCAAACCAGTATCGACCAGTGCCTGATTTTTAAACTATTACATTCGGTTACTGCCTCAGATTGAGTGTATTTTGTGCTTTCACTCACTAATTGGAATGAAATGAAACACATGTGATGAAATTCGACAGTATTTATTTTTTGCAAACAAACACGTCCTGGAGCTTTTCAAAAGGGCAACGAGGAAAACTGTTTGTTAGTTGTAAAGATAAACATTTGCAGTGACGTCTGTCGGAGAGTGCCTTTCCTCTGTGTAACAGTAGGGATGCAGGAGGGGAGCCTAGGGCCTCTGTAGAGATCCAAAGAGCCCTGCTGACCCTGCCTGGTGCACCTCTGCTGAACGCAGTGGTACAGAGCACCATACATGCCTTTCATTCAGCAAAAGAAAAGGCCACTTTTTTCTCCTTCTCTCCTCTCTAAGTGTAAGACCCCAGCTGTCCTCAGTCAAGCAGAATTCCAACTTTCCCTCCAAAAAAATCTCTCATTGTCCATCCTGGAGGTGGCCGAACCCTCCTCTCCATAGTGCTTAACCACTGGACCGGGCGCAAACAACAGAGTAATCATATTACAGTGTCCCTGGGAAAAAAGGGACAGCTATCCACAGGGAATCTCCTGTGGCTAATCCCTGCGAGGCCGCAGCTTTTCTTCTCCAGTGCCGAGTCCACCTTTCACAGCGGTTTCGGAGGCACACAGGCCTTTAACCGCTCAAGGATATCGGCTTCACGTCTCTCCTCCTACATTCTCCTCAAATCTACAGCAAATACCAAGAAACTGAATACTTGGCATTGCACACCACCACCTCTTCGTTTCTCATTCGTTCAATTTTATTTTGGTACTTTCATTACCTCACCTTCTTTATTCTAAGGATCCTCATTTTCTTTGCCCCTATGACTGCAGACATGATTGCCATTATTGTAAA